CCAGTTGCCTTTAAGCGACAACTTTGTAGCTTGGAAGATGTGCCAAATGCACCAGAAGCGATGGAAGTTATCTGGTTGCCATTCAGCCACAACTCTTGTAGCTGGGGCCGATTTGCAAATGTTTCAGAATGGATGGTAGTCATTTGGTTTTTGTCCAAGTACAAGTATTGTAGCTTGGGCACATTTGCAAATGTACCAGAAGGGATGGTAGTTATCCGGTTGCCTTTAAGCGACAGCCTTTGTAGCTGGGGTAGATTTGCAAATGTTCCGGCGTCACGGATGGTACTTATTTGGTTTTTGTCCAAGTACAAGTATTGTAGCTTGGGCAGATTGGAAAATAATGCCATAACGGATGGTAGTTATCTGGTTGTTGTTCACGTACAAGTGTTGTAGCTGGAGCAGACCTAAAAATGCATCAGAGTCGATGGCAGTTATATTGTTGTGGTCCAGGTACAACTCTTGTAGCTTGCGCAGGGTTATAAATGTCCTACAATGGTTTTTATGTATCTGGTTGTGATTCAGCCACAAGAACTGTAGCTGGGGCAGATATAAAAATGCACGTTCATGGATGTAAAGTATCTGGTTTTTGTTCAAGTACAAGTATTGTACATTTCGTTGCCTGCGCGGATGTACAAGTGTACCGATGTAAGTTATCTGGTTGTTGTCCAGGTACACCTTTTGTAGCTTGGGAAGTGTAGGAATGATGGGTGCATGGGTAATCTTGTTGTGGGACAGGTGCAACTCTTGTAGCTGGGGCAGATTTCTAAATGTACCAGAACGGATGGCAGCTATCTGGTTGTGGGTCAGGTTTAACACTGATAGCTTAGACAGATTTTCAAATGCACCATGGATATGGATGGTAGTTATCTGGTTGTTGTCCAGGTACAACTTTTGTAGCTCGGGTAGATTTGCAAATGTACCAGAATGGATGCCAGTTATTTTATTGTGGGACAGGTGCAACTCTTGTAGCTGGGACAGATTTTCAGATGCACATGCTACAATCTTTGTTATCTGGTTGTATTCGAGGCACAACTTAAGCAAATTCTTATACCGTAACAGCTGAGACTGCTCTACAGTTTTAATACGGTTACTTGCTAAATCTAATATGCTGATTGATGTATGGAGATTCTGGGGGATGCTGGTCAGCCCTAGGTTGGGACACTTGCAGCGTGATAATGGTTTACAGTTGCAGTCAGCTTCTGGCATGCTGGGCTCCTTCAGGATGATGAGAAGGAAAATCAGCACGTGTCGCAGCTTTCTTCCCATGGTGCTATGCCACCTGAATAGAACCAGAAATGTTCTCAGTTAAAGGCCACTCAATGCTTGAGGCCCACTGTACACAGGACTCTCCAAATCGTAGGCCAGCCATGTCATTATTACCTCCATGAAAAATGGAGGTATTGTTTTTGGTGCGCGGTCTGTGTGTGTGTGTGTGTTTGTGTTTCCGCACATTTGTAGTCAGCATAACTTCATAACGCCTAATGGATTGTGATGATATTTGGTATGCTGGTAAGTCTTAGGAAGACAAACGTCAAAGTCAAATATAGGCCTCCTGGTGGATGACCTTGGGGCTGCAGCAGGACTTACGGTTTTTGTATCTTTTGTCCTAAACATGCTATGGTCTTGGATTTTTGATGACAGATAGTTTTTTCTGTCAAGAATAAGTGGTGTGAGTTTGGTCCCCCTAGCAGCTTGTTCTGTAACTGCAGGGAACTTTCTGGCGAAATCTTTAAAAGCCAATAAGTCAAGCTAAGAACAACGTATGTTCATCATTTTTGGTGTGTAGGTAGCTAAGAGAGAGTTGTACATGATTAAATGCAAATTATGCAAATGAGGACTTAATTTGCATAATTAAGGAGGACATTCTATAATTACAGTGTTTTATATAAAAGTACTGTTATACATGTAATCTATTTAGTCTGTGGCAGGCGGAACATCAACAGATACCAATTATGCAAATGATGACCTAATTTGCATAATTACTGTGAAAATTCTGGGATTCATTATTGGAATTTTATGGCTTGTTACCTTAAAGAGTAATACCACCATGCATATATTATGTTAATGTCCAGGTCATTTGCATAATTAATGAGGACATGTTTGAATGAAGTATGACAAAGGAGAGGAATTTTACACGAAAAATGTTGTCATTTGAATTTAGAAAACCATAAATTAAACTAGATTATGCTAACTAAGACCTTATTTCCATAGTCAATGAGACAAATTAAAACATTTGCAAAAATTCATATATTTCGAATTCTTGTCTGGAATGCTACTATTGTATTACAAACCGGGGACCATTTCATGTGAATACGCCATTTTGGAATACAACAGGCCCCAATGAAAAGAAAAAGAAAGAAAGAAAAAGTGATCTCGAACCAGTTTAGCTCATTGAAGAGCTAATCTTCCACTGGTCGTGACAGAGAAGACAGACGCTATGTACAGTATTTACAGGTTCATTGTACCGGGGAAATTCCCCTAGCTCTTTTCGACAAGCACAATGAACAGTGGATCACGGCTTAACGTCCCGTCCTAAGGATTGCGACCATTAACAGTAGCGTGCATGATGGGTGAGCGACAACAGCCGGGATTCAAACTCCCAACCTCTTAGTCCAGAGGCAGGATCGCTAACCACTGGACTACGCACGCTACTACGCCCAATGCTGTTGCAACAAAAAGTTGTGTATTATTGGGGCCTTAGTGATATAGCCTATTTGATGTGTTGATTGTCTGGAGCTGGCTGTTTGAATATTGATAATATCAAAATTACTTTCTCTTGTTTTCCAGCGTTTTAACCTTCCAAATAAAATCTGCCGAATGTAACACCTCACTTTAAAATGTTCCTCTATTTCTAAAATATCATTAAAAACAGACATTATAGGACAATCAAATGTCACTGTTGGTCACTCCACTCTGATTGCTGCAATTGTACAAAAACTCGTGTTGAATATCATAAGTTCTTTGTTTGAAGCTTTTTGAGACATGGCAGAAAAGTAAATAAAAGAAAAGTAAATATATATATATATATATATATATATATATATATATATATATATATATATATATATATATATATATATATATAAGATTGACAAAGTCTAATGGTCAATCTGAATTTTCTGGTTCCGGCACTGCAGAATTCACAGTGGGCAGAATTGGTGCCCAGGGCATTACGTCACCAAATTAAATAAACCATCAGAACTTACCTTAAATCCAAGCAGATGTTGGGGTGAAAACGTTCCAAAAGCCGGGATTCTCTGACACTTACTTACCCTTGCCATAGTTCGAAAACGGCGCAATATTCCACCTAACATCTGCTTAGAGATTTATGGCACAACAAACTGTCTACACAAAAGATTTAGCTTTCCTGGTTGTCAACTGGAAGACTCATACCTTTGTAAGCTGTCAAAATACCTTTAGTTGATAGGAACTCGGGCAAGGCTTAAGCTGTTGTTCTTGTAAAGGTTGTGCCCTTTAATGTTTCCGAAAATCTTCTGTATATGCAGCATTTCATTTTGAACGCGGTCAGGAAACCTAGAGTCCTAAAACGCCCATTACTGAAAATCCGAATATGGCAAATAGTATTATGGTCCCATTCCGGACTCCTTCTGGGACGTAATAGCTCCGAATGCGTCCAGGTAACGCTAAGTATTCGGAACGTGATTTGAGTCCGAAAACGTTTCATTACCTGGAGTCCGGATATGGCGAATAGTATTATGGTCCCATTCCGGACTCCGGAAATGATCCGAACACGTAAGGGAATGATGACACGTTTCTTCCGAATATTGCCCGGATATGCCCGGAAACGTTCCCAATCCGGACAAATGCAGACATAGAAAAAAACACCCCCTTTCGCACAGTGTTAGCTGATCCGTAATGCCGTGTGACAAACAACCCAAGATTGGACCTACGCGTACAGTTGTGATAATTGTCTGAATCTGGCTATTTGAATAATTCATAATAGTGATGTAGATCTCAAGATGCATATTTATTTAACATGTGCAATATGAGTGGAAAACATTTTTTTCTAAGAAAGTATTAATTATTAATATTTCAGGGTGTCTGGCCAGGGGTAATGCAGTGTGCCAGAAGCTGGCATGAAGGTTGTATTATTACGATTTTGAGATTGAACTATTGTTTGTTTGGACAATATATTGTACGAGTTACAATAATGTGATTATTAACTCAGTAGTAAAGAGCGTTGAAACTTGCTCATTAAAAACATTGAAGAACACTGAAAGCTGCAGTTTGTTAAGTAACCGCTAGAGCTTCTCACTTAAGAAATAGACATCAAAGGGTGGGGTCAGTGCATGTATTTATAACTTACCTTAAGGCCAAGCAGATGTGGAGGTGAAAACGTTTTGAAAACCGGAATTCTCTGACACTTATTTATCTTTCCAAACAGCACAATATTCCACCTAACATCTGCTTAGAGATTTGAACTTTGCTTAAGCCATAACAAACTGTCTTCACAACAGATTTTGCTTCACTGACTGTCCACTAGTAGTCTCATACCTTTTAAACCAGTCATAGGAGCTTCAGTTGGCACTTTCTGGATAGGAATTCAGGCAAGGCTTACGCTGTTGTTCTTGTAGAGTGTGTCTGCCTCTTTACATAGCAGTTTTGTAATGTCATGTAACAAACAACCAAAGATTGGTCTTACCTAACACACGGTGTCAATTGTCGGAATCTACCTTTAGTTGGCGCTTTCTGGATAGGAATTCAGGCAAAGTACCTCTGGCACAGGTTGCTGTTGTTCTTGTAGGGTGCGTCAGCCTCCT